GAACAGATTGAGATAGATAGATATGAACAGGACGAGATAGATCCATTAATTTCTTCTGTAAATCCTTTATCAAAGTCATTCCAAATTCATGAATTATTTCCATTCTTCATCAATATTTTCCCTGGGAATAATTTTGTTCAATTCATCATTTTTTTTTCTTTTTCTCGTGTCTTTTCTCTTTTCCTATTTTCTCACTTTGATGTTTTCATCAGATTTCATCCCAACCTCTTTAGATTTGTTTAAATTTATATCTTTTTCAGAATTTCGCCTTTTTTGTTTCACATAGACATTGAATTCGCGTTTTCTCTGCAATTTTGTAAATTTCTCTATCAGAATCGAAGAAAGGACAATTCTGTTGTTCATCATCGGTGAATGTCATTTGCGTTTCACACTTGATAGAAAGCATTATTTGAAATGCTGATTTCATAAGCTACTAGGCTCTATTAATTTAAAGATGGATACAATGTTGTCTTTCTACATATAATATTTATTGGATCAGCAATATTATTGGTCCTGATCTGGCAGCTCAGCTCCAGTCACTTTCCCCCTGCCATAAGGTTGCCTCTCTATGTCTTTGCTATAAATACTTTCATGGTAAATTTTCAAATGAGCCCTTCACTATGGTACCTAGACTTCATGAATTTAAGCGCAGTACTAGACTGGCATCTAGATCTCATCAATTTACACATGAGTTGGCTTGATGTAGCCGTAAATTCTATGCTGTTTTTCTCGCACTTCCCACTTGTGGAACTCCCTTCTGGCTCCATGCTTTCCAGCCATCTTTAATCTGCAAAAATGCAATGTCAATTGCTATCTACTGTCCATCTGATTACTCTCTTCTCTTTATGTTTATCATTAATGTTTCTGTTCCCAATTCTTACACACCCTGTAACCCCATGCGTCTTAGTGACCTTACTCCCTTACATGGGGTGATGCCGATTTTTAAAAATCAACATCTATGGATTTAATACCCAAATCTAAATATTTTATACGTTGTTTTACAGCTCCAGCTTTGTACATAAATTTATACTTTCAATGTAAACGTATGTTTTATATATATATATATATATACGTCTACGTGATATCTGTCCTCCTTTACGGCATCAAATGTTGGACGCTCTCCTCAAAGATGAAGAAGAGATTCGAGGCAATGGGGGTATTTTCTACAGAAGGATGCTAAGGATATCATGGACCTAGCGTGTGAGCAACGATGAGGTCTTAGAAAGGATGCAAACAAGGAGGAGGCTTATACTTAACATCAGGAAGAGGCAGATGAAATTTCTGGGACGCGTAATGAGAAAGGAGGGCTTGGAGAATCTAATACTCACAGGACGAAGAGAGGGGAAGCTTAAGCAAGTGGATTACAGAACAGGGCCTGGAGTGGGGGGAGTAGCAAAGGGACAAAACTTCTTGAGAGCTATAAGTGATAGGGAGGAAATGGAGAGCCATGATCGCCTACATCTTGAAGGGACACAGCATATAAAAAGTAAAGAAAGATGATTTATTGTAAGTTTTATATGTTTTTGTATAAAACTATTTCTTTAAGTTAGGATATTATGTGAGGGGTTTTACCATTTTTACACAGTTTTCTTATATTGATTTCCTTGTAGTATTCAAGTTCTTACAGGGACTAAGTGGATACACTCAGGTGAATTGTGTTTCACCGTCAGTGCTGCTTGGCATTTTATAGATGAATGGATGAGGTATGCGTACGCAAGCTAGTGTTACTTCGTCTTTTCTGCTTTTTCTAGACGTTTGTCTCCATTCATCTCGGAATGGTTTCATTGTGACAAGTTTATTATTTTTGTTGCCGGTCCACTATTTTCACAATTTCTGTTAAATGTAACTGTTTTATTTTTTGGGTCTTTCTAAGGGATCTTGAAATTAATGAATTGAACACTGGCGTTTATATACATCACGTTTACTGTTTGTTGAAATTTCACTTTCTCTGTAGGGGGTAGGATTTTTGACTTGAAGCGATCGGATGTCTAGCCACACTGATGAGCTGTGATACAGCGAAACAGGATTGTATGTAGATGACTGTGATACGCTCCCGTCATTTCGGTTGAGCACTATTGAGAAAAAGGTAATGCCAAAAAAGTAGCCGTAGCCGCTGTTTATTAATGAATTGAGCACTCTGGCTGCTGGCGTTTATATACATTTTGAGTTTCGATCCCGGCTTGAAGAAATCAGATATCTAGCCACATCGATGAGCTGTGATACAGTGAAACAGGCTTGTATGACGGTAATAAAAAGTAAAATTAAAAAACGGGCTAGCTAACCAGTTTTGAACCTCGCTCAACAGAGCTAAATCGAGGTTAATAAACTGAATTATCTAAAACAATGGATAAAGCGTATTGCAGAGAGAAAAAAAAAATTCGACATTGTTACTTTGCCGCTGACATCGTGTTGTTTTCTCTGCCAAGCCTGTCCTTCCATCTATGCGTAAAAATGTTCTCCCTCCATATCATAATAGTTCGTTAATTTATTCTTTGAAGTATAGTTGTGATTCTCACTACATAGGGAGAACGACTCAAAGGCTGGATGTTGGAATAAAGCAACACGTTCCAGCGAAAATCCGAAACTTTAAGTTAACTCCTTCAGACATTTTGACTATAATACATACGGGTCTTTCATCGCAGAACACCTAATAAATAGCCATAATTGTGCTGCTAGTTTTGGTGTGGACTCGTTTACCATTCTTAGCAGGTCCCACTCAAATTACCACCTAAAAGTTTTAGAAGTCATCTATATCCTATTGTTGAATCCTTCTCTATGTAAACAGAAGGACTTTGTATTAGGCCTCTGACTAATTACCCTTTAAATATTTTTTCTCTCTCCAATATACTTTGTCCATTTTTTAAATAATTCAGATTATTTACCTCGATTTAGCTCTGTTGCGCGAGGTTCGAAACCGGTTAGCTAGCCTGTTTTTCAATTGTATTTTTTCTTAACATCATACAAGCCTATTTCGCTGTATTTCTCCTAATTGAGTGATAATTTATCATTTGAAAAAAAAAATAGTTCATTCAAGATGTCTACTTTTTAACGCATATTTTGTGAAACATTTTGCAAAAGGATTTATTTTCAGGGACAAATTGTATTAAATATTTTAGAAAATGATTTTCTTTCTCTTCTCCATATATATATATATATATATATATATATATATATATATATATATATATATATATATATATATATATATATATATATAAATTTGTCAATACAATAAATTTGTCAATGAGCTAATCGATAATCATATATATATATATATATATATATATATATATATATATATATATATATATATATATATATATAGGAAAATATAGGTTAAAATAGGAAACTAAAATGATACATATGACACACTCATATCCTCTCTCCTACCTCACTTCCTCACTTCGTTAACTTTGCGTATACTTGATGAAGTCCGTAAAAAACGTGTGAATTTCTTTTCATTTTTCATTTCAGCTTTTAGAAGTAAAGTCTGATGATCCAGAACCCTGTTAAAGGGTTATGGTGAAATAACTTATTACATGGAATCTTAACGTGGTCTGTCTTTTATTCAAATATATATATATATATATATATATATATATATATATATATATATATATATATGTATGTATGTATGTATGTATGTATGTATGTATATGTCTGCCATAAACAGACAAAAATTAATTTTATTATTACCACTTAAGTGTATTGGGGGAAAAAAATTTAGATGGTAAACAAAAGGACTTTTTATTAGAACTAATTACCATCTAAATTTCCAATTGAAAGATAATGGACAATTCTTTTCTTGAAGAGGTCAAGTGAACGGAAAACATTCTAAAACAAACCTTCTAGCAGTGATGGGAGTTTCCTTCCTAACCTTTTGTTTAAGGTAGTGTGGAAAGTCAACATCTTGTTTATATCATTGTTTTCCCCTTCTAGTGACACGCTCTTCCAATTTCAGCTGTTGTTGTTGTTGGAAGTCTTCAAGCGATGTGGTTTTTGTTATTTGCTAAAAGTTCTTTGTTTGTGATTCTGTAGCGCCAGTCTATAAAATCTGATGAAGTGTTGTACATTTTAGTTGTTACTGCTGTTGGAAGTCTTCAAGCAATGTGATTTTTGTTATTTGGTAAAAGTTCTTTGTTTGTGATTCTGTAGCGTCAGTCTATAAGATCTGATGAAGTGCTGTTCATTTTAGTTGTTGCAGCTTTTGGAAGTCTTCAAGCGATGTGGTTTTTACTATTTGGTAAAAGTTCTTTGAGATTCTGGAGTGCCAGTCTGATGAAGGGCTATCCATTTTAGTTGTTGCTGGTGTTGGAAGTCTTCAAGTGATATAGCTTTTGTTATTTAATAACGCACTTTGTGAATTTGCAGCACAGTCTCTAAACCTTTTTACCCTTGTGCCACACTTGAAATAGTTTTATTTTTATGTCCCAGCGAACACCTGCATAAATGCTTATATACCATTATTGATTTCTATCTTTTTCATTTTCATCCTAGGTTAACATTAATATATTTTTCCGATAACTGGTTTAAATTTTTAAAAATGTCACTTTTTTTCAAATTTATTGGCAATACAAAAAACTGGTTCACTGAGGTTATTCTTTAAAAAATCTGTCAACACACACACACCCGGGCGCCCGCACGCACGCACGCACACACACACACACACACACACACACACACACACACACACAATTATATATAAATACGCTATATCATTTTATTTTATAATAATAACCAAGAATTTTCAAGTAATATTGCCATACTCGTTTGGTAAAATTACACATATAAATCGAAATAGTTCAATTTGTATTTCTCCTAGACTGAAATTGCCAAAACTGTGCCATGTACTGAAATATTTCATATGTTTAGAGTCTATTAACTCCACATTCTGAATTTTTATAACGGATTCAGGGTATATTCCATTACTGTTTCCATTTCAATTCCATATCTTAGATTCTGTTTCGGAAAAGTTTCTCTTGCTTCTTGAAACATTTGACTTACGGCCATATCAGTTTGAAACAACAGTTCTCATATAACCACCGAAGTTAAACAACGTCGAGCCTTGTCAGTACTTAGATGGGTGATCACTCTGGAATTCCAGCAGTTGTAAGCTTGGATTTATGGACGGTATAATTGTCTTACGGTCATATCACGTTGATACAGCGGCTGTTGTACGACCACGGATGTTAAGCAACGTCAAACCTGGTGAGTAGTTAGATGGGTAACCGCTTTGGAATACCAGCTGTTATAAGCTTGGATTTGTGGATGATCTAATGTTCTTACAGCCATATCACGTTGATACAGCGGTTCTTGTACGACCACCGAAGTTAAGCAACGTCGAGCCTGATCAGTACCTACATGGGTGATCGCTTGGGAATACCAGCTACTGTAAGCTTGGATTTATGGATGGTATAATGGTCTTACGGTCATATCACGTTGAAACAGCGGTTCTCGTACGACCACCGAAGTTGGATGTGTGGGTGGTGTAATGGATAACTGTTCGGGATGTGAAATCCGAAAACAGAGTTCCAATTCCAGTGAAGTTCATTATATTCACTTACCCGCAAATACCCTCCAGCTATGGATTAATTAGTAAAACATGTAACAGTAAATCATTCTCATATAAAAAAAACAAATTACAATCTTAAAATATTTTCTGGGTTTAAATAAACTGCAAAGTGTTGATAATCCGTAAAAAAGCAAATCATTATTGAGACACTTAGTAAATAATGATTTTCTTACAAGATCATTCTTATACCAACTATGAATACCTATGTCATCAGCATACCTCGCTCATCATCAGTACTCTGGCCTCGGGAAAGAAAATAAAATCGCCGTTTTCCATTAGTCGAACGTCGTGGGTAAAACGATAAACTAAATCCGACAACAAGGCTATTGATTATGAAATTTTGAGGAGCATGGGACCACCTCTTAAGAGCTGGTGTTCCCAGATCCACTCTGATCCGCGGTGGTAGCACCTGTCAGCTATGGGCAAATAGTTAAACACAAAAGGTGTCAAAACTCTACGAAAGTATAAAAATAGGTTTTAATAACAGCAATACCTTTTTTTTGAAAAATTATTACCAGCGGTACGTTTTTGAAAAAGAAAAATATTGCCAGCAATACATTTTGGAAAAAAAATATTACTAGCAATGAAAATCTTGTCGGCATTAAAGAATCATTTGAAGTTGATATGCCGTAAACTAAACGAAACCAAACCTAAACGATTAGTCGATTAGTATGAGATATGGCGCTGTATATTTAGATTTTCTTAAACCTGTATCTGTTCTTGCGTCTCGGCAAAGTATAGAACATTGTTTCCCAACCTTTTTTTTTAATCGTGTTCTATGTTTGGTGTCAAAAGATTTCAGGCTGACATCAGAACAAACAGAAATTCCATGTAACAGGAACTTGTTGTTGTCATTCTGTAGAGTCGAATAATGTTAAACAAATTACGATAAAAAATTTCAAAAACGATTCAAAGAAATAAATTTAAATTCAGTTTTGACAACATAAAATCTAAATCCAGCAATCCCTGTGAATAAAAGTTGTTTGATTATTTATAAATAACTAACGTTCGAAAAGAGGATTAACGGCGCTGATATAGAAAGATAAAGAAATGCTTTCAAAAACTAAAATGACATTTTTATTATCTGTCTATATGTCCGAGATGAGGTATCGTAACTATTTACATTATTTACACTGTTCGGACTATTGTCCATATCTTTATTGTCATATTCACGACGTTTCGGACGTTGTACGCTCCGGTCTGCTTCAGGATCAGTTTATATTTCTGAGACGAGGTATTGTAACTATTTATATTGTTCGGACTATTGTCCATATCTTTATTGTCATATTCATGACGTTTCGGCCGTTGTACGCTCCGGTCTGCTTCAGGATCAGTTTATATTTCTGAGACGAGGTATTGTAACTATTTACACTATTTACATTGTTCGGACTATTATCCATATCCTTATTGGCATATTCACGACGTTTTGGCAGCAATACTCTCCGGCCTCCTTCAGATGGTAAACGTTGTAACATGAAAGGAATCAGGGCATATGATATTATTGTTACTTCCTAACTGCTCTTGTCTAGAAAGCAAAGGAAATAACTTTTATTCCCTTCAAAGTTTGATTTTGCGAATTACACATTGTGGTTTTGAAACTAACCTATTTCTCAGTAGATTTAAGACAAATTCAGCGCTGAGTTGCTGAAGGAGAAATTTCTTGAACTTTCTAGAAGTTTCAAGAACATTCGAGAAGTACGTAAAAGTTTCATGTATTTTTAGAACGTTCTGGTAATTTAGTTTATTTCTAGCTGTCCAAGGGAAGGTAACTCGTCCTTGATAGATGCATTCCTCACGGATGGCATCAAGAGGTCGTAATCGAAATTCGCCACAAACATAGCAAAATACGTCTACGAGATGAAGACAATAGCAAACAAAACAAATGTATTCTGCGGCAACATTAGTTAAATTTTGTGAGACCTACAAGACATATTTTCGCATGGATGTCGGGGTTCAAGACAAACCTTGAGCACCTCATTTCACCTGCAATCTCTGCGAAAAAAATCTAGAAGATAAGATGGAAAGTTTCGCTAGTTTGGATAGCGAAATATTTAAGTGTAAAAGTTTGGGTAATTTTTTTTTTTTAATTTAAATATTTCTTATTTTTATTTTCTTTAAACCAGTGTTACTAAAAATATTAATTAAACGGGTTTCAACAATATTACTGTTCACTAAATCATAGCTGTTCTTCATACGAATTCAGTGGCAAGTTATAAAAACACGAAATATTATTGGTCTATATTTCTGAGATGAGGTATTATGTACATTATTTACATTATTCGGACTATTGTATTCATCTTTGTCGCCATATTTATGACAACGTTTCGGCCTTTCAGTATCTGTCTATATTTCTGAGATGATGTATTATGTACACTATTTACATTATTCGGACAATTGTCCTCATCTTTGTCGCCATATTTATTACAACGTTTCGGCCTTTCAGTATCTGTCTATATTTCTGAGATGAGGTATTATGTACACTATTTACATTATTCGAACTATTGTCCTCATCTTTGTCGCCATATTTATTACAACGTTTCAGCCCTTCAGTATCTGTATATTTCTGAGATGAGGTATTATGTACACTATTTACATTATTCGTACAATTGTCCTCATCTTTGTCGACATATTTTACAACGATTCGGCCCTTCAGTATCTGTCTATATTTCCGAGATGAGGTATTATGTAGATTATTTACATTATTCGGACTATATTATTATTATAGTGTACATAATACCTCATCTCAGAAATATAGACATATACTGAAGGGCCGAAACGTTGTAATAAATATGGCGACAAAGATGTGGACAATAGTCCGTATAATGTAAATAGTGTACATAATACCTCATCTCAGAGATATAGACAGATACTGAGGGAGCAGCTGTTTTCAGAAGAGTACAGCAATTCAGAAGAGGGTGAAGTCATTGATCTAGATTACAGAGGTGCAACTTAAGAGAGAGAACCATACTACCCCAACCAGAAAGACCTCAAAGGCCTGGTCAGAGATCTTGGTGTCACTGTGACGTCGTCCCCCCCCCCTGGTCGCAGCGTCGACTGTGTCGTTCGATCTCGTTCGCGACGCCAGCTGTTCGCTCCTCGCTGCTCCAAGTGTGACGTTCTAACCCTTTGGCTAGATGAATACCAGCCTCGCTGTTCCCAACCCGCCTGCAACGCCTGGTTACCAGGGTAACTACACTGATCTCCGGTCTGTCTACCCACGTTGTGATTAGATCTTAGACAGACGGGATCAAACAGGGATTGAGCCGTATGCAAGCTGAGTCCAACGGGGGTGATAACACACAAGAAAAATAAAACTCACAAGGTCAAAAATATTGAAGAAAAAGGTAACAACTTTTTATATCTAATTGTTCGTTACACAAGATTATTCCTACCTCCCGACCCGTTCTGTGGACCGTGGCACCAAGCTTCTACCATACAACTTTAAGGCTTCGAGTTGCTTGCTCTCTAGAAATTTGCATTTCGGAGTGTGGTTTGGTTTCAACACTGGGCGCTGATCTCTACCTGTCGTTCACGACTGATGTCTCTCGCCGTCCGTGGCTGCAACTATCTCTCTCTTCAGAGTCTGAATTATTGTTCACTCATCTCCGCCGTCAGTGCGCGAATTAACTTCTCTTCGGCTTCGGTTGGACGAGCTTATTCACTTCGGCTTGGGTTGGGCGAATTTCTTCACTTCGGCTTGGGTTGGGCGAATTTCTTCACTACGGCTTGGGTTGGACGAATTTCTCTTCTTAGGCCAAACGGACCGGCCTTTCTTGCCCGCAAAGGGGCGAATGAACCGGGCCCGCAGCCCGCGCTCAAACTCCCTCGCCGTCCGCGGCGCAGCTGCAACTAACAACTCTTCTCTTCAGAGTCTGAATTACTGTTCACTCATCTCCGCCGTCAGTGCGCGAATTAGCTTCTTCTCTTCGGCTTCGGTTGGACGAGCTTATTCACTTCGACTTGGGTTGGACGAATTTCTCCGCTTAGGCTTGGTTTGATTCCAACTTCTCCACTTAGTCCAAACGGGCTGCTTCACTTCGGCTTTTCTTGCCCGCAAGGGGACGAATGAACCGGGCCCGCCGCCTGCGCTCAAACTCCCTCGCCGTCCGCGGCGCAACTGCAACTGATTTCTGTCGGTTGGGGTCCTGCTTTTATTGACGCAGTCAAAAACTGGGGTGGGTCTGTCGGCGCCAGGGTTTTCTTGATAATTCTAAAGACGTATTATTTCTGATTAGGGATTTTCCATTTTCGGTCACTTACTTTCACTCCTACTTCCTTACTGTGCCTCTGGTGGGGGGCGTATACCCGCTTCCCCTGGTCCTTCGTATGTCAGGTGACCGCTCTCGACCAATGGGGTCCTGGTCGGGCATCTTTCCTCCACCCTCGCACATCATGTGACCGCTCTCGGCCAATGGGGTCCTGGTCGGGTGTCTCTCCTCCTCCCTCATGTATCATGTGACCGCCTTCGGCCAATGAGACTCTGGTCGGTATCTTTCCTCCTTCCTTCGTGACGCCTTTAATCGGGCGTGGACAATCCGTGGCTTTGTTCTGGGGAAAGAAACACCTTGCTTAAAGAAACAAAAATTTAAATTGTCCTTTTCGTACGAAAATGACGATCCCGGTTTCTTTTACACGCGGTATTTGTCAAACATCCTATCGCTAGTTGGATACGATCTAAGAAAGGGATTTCTTAGACTGGGTGGCGTTAACGTGAACTAATAAAAATATTTCACTTTTTCCCTTCGCTCGGAGCTTGACAACAAAAATCTTAATTATCTCAAAAAAAAGCATTTTCTGATCATCATCTTGTGTGGCCCTACCCTC